AAAAAAAAAAAAAAAAAAAAAAAAAAAAATTATGAGAAAATTCTGCCTAAAATTCACCCTTTAGCACCTAAACTGATAGAAATTTGTTACAGCATGTCCGAATAGGCTCTACTATGAGCCACTCAGAAGGATAAGACATGAGTTTGAGAAGAGACTGTGTCAAAGCTGTATAATTTGTGCTAAACTGGAAACAAGAAGAAACATGAAATTTACAATGAGAACAGATGCAGTGGCTCAGGCCTGTAATCCCAGCAGTTCCCGAGGCTGAAACGTGTGGTTCATGTGAGCCCAGGTATTCAAGGGAAGCCTGCGCAACATGGTGAAATCTGCTTCTCTACATGAAATACAAACATTAGCTGGTCATGGTGGCACGTGCTGCAGACACAGCTACTGTCTAGTCTGTGGTGGGAGGATGGCTTGAGCCTGGGCAGTCACACCTGCAGTGAGCTGTGATCATACCACTGCCCTTCAGTGTGGGTGACAGAGCGAGATACTGTCTGAAAATAAGAATACTTACAGTAAAGATTGGGTAAATAACAAAATCATTGATGCTGTATGAAAAGTTTATGGGGACGATGGCCAAAGGAAATCTGCAGCGTGTAAAAGGATAACTCATTTTGAGTTGAGAGAAGACAATGTTTGAAGTGATAGAGTGGCAGGCAGATGATCCACATCAGTGTTACAGAAAACAAATTAATCTTGTTCCTGCCGCAATGAAGAGGACTGCCAGCTAACAGTGAAAAATAGGAGTTTGAGACCAGCCTGGTTAACATGGTGAAACCTCTTCTCTACTAAAAATACAAATATCAGCTGGGCATGGTAGTGGGTGGCTGGAATCCCAGCTACTCCGGAGACTGAGGCAGGAGAATCACTTAAACCCCGAGGAGGATGTTGCAGTTAGCCGAGACGACACCATTGCACTTTATTCTGGGCAACAAGAGCAGAACTCCCACAGAAGAAAAAAAAAAAGATGGGAAGCCCCTTCTCTTCATTCCTCCACCATCATGGTGTGTTCTTGACTCCCCTTTTTACCGTGTCTTCTCACAAGACTTTCATGATTCAGTGATTCCTGGCCAAGAAACAAAAGCAAAATCGTCCCATTCCCTAGTGGATTCAGATGAAAACTGGTATTTGTTTATATTTGAAGATGACAGCAGCTGCCAGAGCTTGTGTACCTTAGCCTACTGAGCATTTACCGTATGGCTACAGGAGAGCGCCCCTAATTAGCGGGCTTTTTCCCAGAGCATTGCACTTTAGGCTGCTTTGTACTTCCTTGCCCATTTTCGGCTAATAAGGTTGAGGTTGACATGGACTGTTTTTAGCCCTTTTCCTTGGTGACCCGGGAAGCCAAGGAATTCCTTATTAACTGAGGCATTCGAGGAGTAACAGGGAAGGTCAGGAGTAGGAAAAGCAGCAGCACAGAAGCAGCGGGCCACTTTCTGGGCATAGTTCCTCAAGCAAGTGACCATGGTGAGGAGGATACTTAGGACCGGGCTGGAGCTGCCTGCAGCCACAAAGTGACATGGTGTGCACCTTTTGGCCCTTCCTCTGTTAACACAAACTCAAAAAGGGGCAACCTGCCCAGGCTGCCCGTGACCAAATAGACTAAGATGCACTCCATGGCATCTTAGCAACTCTCCTGGCCCAGGCGTCTGTGGGCAGCAAGAAAGCCAGAGCTTTCTGGGATGAAACCCAGGAGGCAGCTGGCAACTTTCCCTTATACTCCAGGGAAACAGAAAGACAAGGCCGGGAAGGTGGATGCTGGAAGTGGGAAGTGGGAACTTGCATATTAGGAAGACAATCATTCTTAGCCACTTCGCTTCCCTCCTGGAGGCTCCCCTCCAGCAGCGAAGTGTGTGGAGGGGATGCGGCCACCCAGTTGTATAGATGTTCGCTAACTGGGGGTCTGATTTAAGAACCATCCTGATTATGGGCTTGAACCCTTGTGTGAAGGGTGCAGTACCTTAGCTGGAGTGGGGTAGAGGTGGGCCGGCACCCCCTTCTCAGCTCTGGTGCTGTCAGCCTCAAGATCAGACAAGGCCCAGAACTTGAAGGTCTTGGTAGGTGGCCACTTGTCATGCTATGGGGCATGGGCACCACACTGAAGCTGCTGCTGGGGGCCGCGCTATGGCGTACGGTGTCCACAGATCTGTGTTCACTGTCGAAGGTAGGCAGAGAGCCCACCTTCTTCAGTCGGATTCGTGGAGTGCAGCAGGACACTGTCCTGGCCAAAGTCCTTCACTTCAGGCTTTTCTGGTTCCGGGACACCACTATCTATGACATTCAGGTCAGATCTCAAAATAACTCCTCCCCCACTGGCTCCAAAGACCTGCAGATGGTCAATATCTTCCTGCTAGTGCTGTCTTGAGCCAGTGCTCAGGAGCTTCCTCACATGTACCAGCTCCTAGGGCTAGAGTATGAGGAACCTGTGTTGCAGTCCATTGTCTAGGAGGTTGTCAAGAGTGTGGTGACCAAGTTCATTGCCTGAGGCCGAGGACTTAAGGCTCGTCCTGGATGATGACTTAAGGCATCACAGAGCTGAGCTTTAACCGAGAGTACACAGCTGCTGTATCTTACCTCATCTAGATTATGAATATCACGTGTTATTTTGAACATAAAATCTACTCTATAGAGAAAACACTGTATTTAGTTATTTCTAATTTGTTGTTGTTGAGACAAGTAGCTCTGTCACCCAGGCTAGGGTTCAGTGGCGCTATGTTAGCTAATTACAACCTCCACCTTCTAGGGTCAGGTGATTTTCCTGCCTCAGCATCCCGAGTACCTGGGATTACAGACACGTAACACTACGCTCACCTAATTTTTTTTGTATATTTAGTAGAGACAGGGTTTCACCATGTTGGCAAAGCTGATTTCGAACTCCTGACCTCAGGTGATTGGCCCACCTCTGCTTCCCAGAGTGCTAAACTGTAGGCATGCGCCACCGCGCACGGCCAACTAAAAATTAATTTCAATAGCAAAGAATTTTCCTGGATCCCACGTTGACTTCTCGGGGAGGTGCTATTTCGCAGACAGCTGAGCTGCTCCAGCCTCACTGGCGGGCTTCCTTTCCATAACACGGAAAAAAGGAGCCCAGAGCGAGATGGAGGGAGGCTCAGGCGCTGCCCCCTTCTCGCCCCCGCGGACTTCTCACAGCACAGGCATCTCCTCCCTCGCATCCCGCCGCTGCACCTTATGGCCCTGCTCTGGCCACGCCCAGGCTCCACCCACCACTTCTTGTCCCCTCCCCGCTGTGGTCAGACCCCGCCCAGCTCCTCAGGGGTCCCACCCCGGTCTGGCTTCTGTCCTGCGCTGATTGGTACGGACCCGGAAGCGGATGGCGTCGACGGGAAGTCCCATCGCGGCGGGTGAGTTGTGGTCTTTTCATGTCTGCACTTCCCGGGCATCTGGTACCGCTTATACTGGGGACTTGGGGTCCCCACAGACCTGGAAATTCCGTCCCCTGTTAACCCAGAGCAAATTGAGACGTCCGTGTGAGAGTGCGTGAGTCGCCCTGAAGCTGGTCCTCAACGGTTTTTCTGCAGTGGGGCCGTGCAGACACTTCCTATAGGGAAGTTTTCCTGCTGAAAACCCTTCCTTTCCCCTTCTCTCGCCTCGCGCTGTTTCAAGCCCTCACCCGCCAGCTGGATTCCCATGCTGGGCCTCCCAGCCTCACTCTCGTGGGACCTTTGAGTGCAGCGCTGCAGCCTGGTCCCGAGGAGGCTCGTTTTCTGCCTGGTCCTCGGAACATGCAGACCCCACTCCTGTCCTAAGGCACCATCGCCCTGAAACCTCCCTCTTCGTGCCGGGCCCTGCTGCTCCCCATTTGCAACCCTTGAAAAATGTGCTCTTCCTGGAGGCCCTCTTACCCCATCTTTTTCCTGTTTTACCGGAAGGCAGCCTTGAGTGTGAGATGTTCACGTTCTTGGCTGTTGAACATGGAATTGAAAAAAAGAAAAAACCCGCAAAGTAACAAAAGAAGAAAGCCGCAAAAGCAGGAATTTGTTCAATCAAGAAAGCACTTCACTGGGTGGGAGTGGGTCCAAGCGAGCGTCTCTGCGGCCCCGTGTGCAAAGTTTTGGGAGTTAAAGTTTCTGTTGAATTCCTGTGGGGCTACCCCTTATCTGGAAGAAAGATTTGGTCCTTGGCCAATGAAAATCTGAGGTGAACTGGCCCGAGGTCAGAGCAGATGGGTGCTCTATGCAGAAGTGGTGCCCGGTGCTTGGTCTTTGCCACCCCTGGGCTCTTTAGTTTTCCATCTGAGACATGGTGGAAGGGGGAGGGCTGCAGGGAGAGTGGCCTGTGATCCTTTGTTACTCCATGTCGGGAGATGGGGTTTTTCTTTTCCTGTAGTTTTGGAAAGTTCGCGTCAATTGACCTTAGATTCCCTGCCCCCAGACCCAGGACCCAAGTGTTTCCCTTTTCTTCTTCTTTTTCTTCTCCTT